AAACCCAGTGATTTCTATCATAACGAGAAGCCCATCTCTAATTCGGAGAACCCCCCAGAAGGAGACCTGTGCTGTTCAGAGAGTGCACTGGAGTACGAAATGAAACAATCAGGATGATGTTACTGATGAGTCCCACAGCTCTGCCTCCCCTTCTGTCTCACAGGGCAGGCACGATGAGGAGGAGCTGTTACAATCCCCCTCTGCCTCGGCATCGCTGCTCAGGGAAGCTCCTGGTGCACGTCAGAGCCCTCAGGAGGGATGCAGAGCCCTGCAGAAGGGATGCAGAGCCCTTGGGAGGGATGCAGAGCCCTGCAGAAGGGATGCAGAGCCCTACAGGAGTGATACAGAGCCAGGCAGAAGGGATGCAGAGCCCTGCAGAAGGGATGCAGAGCCCTTGGGAGGGATGCAGAGCCCTCGGGAGGGATGCAGAGCCCTACAGGAGTGATACAGAGCCAGGCAGAAGGGATGCAGAGCCCTGCAGAAGAGCTGCTCATTATCTGCCCAAAGTTAAGGCCTGCATCTGCTCTCAATTAGCAGGCAATTAGGGGAGTTGAAAACAAACCTGTTTACATTGGCTATGAAGTCTAAAATAATTTGTGAGATGTCAGGACAGGATATTAAGATGTTAATGATCTTGTTTCTGTACTTCCCTGCATGCAGGGTAGTGTGGCATCTTCCCTTCACAGCCCCTACACGGTGACAGATTGATTGACCTCTGGGAGGGTATAAAACCCCCAGAGTCTGCTTTGGATGGGAGAAGTTGTGTCTTACAAATAGTGTTAATGGGAAACCTGAGGATGAGGGCATCTTTACAAAAAAAAGGGTGGTTGTTCATTTTTAGTTGTGAAATAACGTCATGTCATGGATGACTGTTCAGGGGTTTCAACCACAATTCCCACAGTAAAGGCCCAGGTTGTAACCTCCTGTGAACATCAGGAACACTGACTGAACAACCCCAAAAAAGCCTGTTTGCACCCCTTCACTGAACTCACTCTGGTGGAACAGTTCTGACCCAGCTCTCCCTCCACAAAAGCCCACCCAGGCAGGTGACTGTGGCACAGGGAGGCTGTTTGTGCCCCTGAGCATCCTGCACGAGACATGGAAGGGCAACTGTGACCCTTGAACTTCAAATTAACATATGGGATAGAATCCTGCTTAGTTCTGTTGCTGCCCTACAAAGATCCATTTAAACCATTAACTCTTTGAGAAGAAAATTCTCATTCAGCAGCATCACCAGGGTAAGGTTGCTTAAGGTTCAGCTTCTTGCCTTTGCTGGGTCATTTCTGACCAGGCACATGAAAAAGGCTTCACACAAACATACCTTCTCCTTGAACAGAAAATGAAAAGCAGCATTAGGATTCTTTGTCTCTGAAATCAGAGAACTCGTCTCCATCAACACAATCCAGCAGAACAGTGGAATTGATGAGGAAACTGCAGAAACACCTGCCTGGGAAGTGTATTTTGTACCTCATTAAATATAATCAGCACATTCCCACTGGCTGCCCACATCAATTCTGTCAGAGTTGCAGTGGGGATTATTGCCATACTGACCTTCCATGACACAGTCATCACATCTTATCTTTGACCCTCAGAACTAACCAAAAAAGTAATTCTAGTAAACACTCCGAGTTGACAAAATTCCATTTTTACCGTTCCAACTAATCAACCCTGTTACTGTAGTTATTTATGTCAGGCAAACAGAGGCCTGAACTCACCCTGCCCTCAACAATTCAAAAAGCCACAGAACAAAAACTGCACCACAGGTGCCACTGTGCCCTCTTGTGTTCTCCTTTGGGCCATCTCCTCTCTTGTCCTTTTGGTTTTTCCACCACAAGCTACGGATCCAGCTCTAATAAGAGCCAGGTGCTCAAGGCCCCAGGCTACAAAACAGCTTTAATTACAATATTAATAGCATTCTCCTAAATCAGAAAATAAAAAAAACAAAAACCAACAAATAGGTCAGTATTTGTGGTTATATTTTTCAATGCCCCGGTGTTTGTTTTCTTTCCAATTTTATGTTTCTTACTGACATTTATAATGCCTAAGAGACATTCCAGAGGCTGAAATACAGGCGATCTGATCTTTGCATGATACTCCAAACTTTCCACAAAAAGAAACAGCAGGAGGAGATCAGATCTACATTTTACCAGCCCCAGAGGTACACCCTTGAGTCTTGACCTCCTTTGATGAAAAGCAGAAGAGCTCAGTATTATTAGTATTTATTGTTATTATCTTAATTGCTACTATTATTAAGCACCCCATGAAATATATTAATATAAATAACACGAACACAGACATCTGAAACACGAATTCAAGCACAAAGGAAGGACACCTCCTATTTACCAAATATTAAACCAAATTCATTTAATACTTTCCATTAATAACTCTTGCAGATGCACACTGCATGAGTCAGTCAACAGTAAAGGTTAGGATGAATGTGTACAGCATGGGAATGCCAGCTGGGCTCCTTGGATACTTATTATTGTAAAGATTAAAAAGGGGGGGCTGTGTTAAAAGAAAAACATGAAACTAATGGAGTTTCTGCCATTAACATTCAGATCAAGCCAATTCAGTTCAGAAGTCAAAAAAATCCAGCTTTTGCTGGTCCTTTGCTGGTGGAAGGAGCCTGGCCTGCAGTGGGGGGGGAGCCACAGGGTGACAGTTCTGTTCCACAGCACCAAGGACTGCAAACACACTGGAGTTCTCCATGTGCTGGGAACAAAACTCCTCCCTCACTTTCACAGAAGCAGAACCATGGCCATGGGCATCACAGCTCTCCTGTGCCAGGGGGTGCCAGGCAGGGATCCCCACTCCATGGCACCTTCACCCCACAAACAAACCAACACCTCAACACCCACTGGCCAAGTCACTTCCCTTCTGCTGCTGCCTCCCCTCTCACCAACATAAAACCTGGGCATGCCCCAAGCTCAGTCTGAGCAGCCTGGTCCAGTGAGGCAGGACTAGATGATCTTTAGGGTCCCTTCCAACCCAAACCTTTTCATTGTTCTGTGATTCAGCTGTAGACACTTGATGCAATGAGCTCAACACTTTCACTCCCAGCTCTCTGGACTCCTCACTACTGAGAGTAGTAAAACATGTTTTTGTCAGTAAAGCCCAGTGCTGTGAGTCAGAGCCTGACACACACAGGGCAGTTACCGTGTGTACAGTAACACGGGGCCATATTTAGAGTTTCTAACCATAACCACACTTGCAAAAACTGCATTAGATCAGCAGCCAGTTTCCCGGACTCCCACTCCTTGTTTCTGACTTCAGGAATTCAGATTATTTGTCTTGTACCAAATAAAGTTGCTTAGGAGATAAAACAGTAAGAAGGAAAAACAGAGGGGCCTAACAATTAGCTTTAATCTGCTCTGGTTTGAACAGATAATGCTTAGAGTGGAAAACAGCAGATAGTAAGGATAAAAAAAATAGCAGCAAATTGAAACCTAACGTGAAAATAAACCTTTTTCCTTGATTTTTATTTTTAAACTTTGAATGTTATCCTTAGCAGCACATGAGTAATTTGCAGAAGTGTTGGCCAATCTTCATTAACTACATTTGTCCTCGCTAAGGCTGCCTGTAAATATCAGCATAGGCAAAACAGGAAGACTCACAGAGGAAGGTGTTTGAGTTCTGGCTACTGCTGCTTTCTGCAGTCACACATCAGGAGGGAACATTGAAGCTGGCTTAGTTCAAGGGTTTTTTTTCCATAAAGAGCAGGTTTGTTGCTCTCTCACTTTGTTTCTCCTCTTTTTTTTTTAAATAACTTCAGGTGTTGCTGGTAGGATGAAGAAAGTCAAGAGACTCACACAATCACACAGGATGTTTTGGGATTAGAGGGGATCAGGAGCTCAAGCTTTCATTGCAAGAGAGAGTGTTTAACAGTGAGAGCAGAGGAGATCAAAGATACCTGTCCTGGGAAAAGAAAGGCAGATAAACATCAGGAGTTAGAGAAGGTGACAAGTGCTGGGAGAGGGGATCCGGGACAGATCAGATAACTCTGACCTGGGTCCCAAAACACCTTCTGCCTGCAAGGAAAGGGAGCCTGTACAGGTGTATTTATTATTTTGTCTACACTTGTTTCCTACCCGTGCCATTTCAGAGAGAATCATTTCAGTCCTGTAGGCAACACCTGCACACAGCTGCTCCCAGGGGATTGCAGGGATAACACCTGCAGGGCTGGGAGTCCACGGAAAAACATGGACTTCGAGTCCCAAAGGTCACGGCCCCGCCTGTGGGTTCAGGGCAGCTGCACCACAGAGCTTTGCTGCCTCGAGGGCACACCAGGCACTGAGGACAAAGTGTCCCAGCAGATGAGACCTGGCACAGGGGCCAGGGGAAGTCCAGTGTCTGGGAGCTGCCCTGGAGAGTGGGAACTGAAGCCTCTGCAGTGCCCACTTTCTCATCCATGGTCGTGGACAGATGGCACAGTGCTGGCACAGCCCAGCCAGTGCAGAACTGGGGGACTGCTCATAGCAGAAACTAATTCAGTCCACTCTGAAGGCAAAATGGGGTTGGAAAATTGCTCAGTATATTCTTTGCTTTATTTTTTAGTCATTCTTTTGATGAATGTGCACAGTTCCAGTGATGATGGAGTTTTGTTTTTTCCTTTTTTTTCCTTCATTTTAATAGCAATAATCACAGAATGGTTTGTGTTGGAAGGGACCCTAAAGACCATCTAGTTCCAAGGCCTTGCCATTGGCAGGGATGCCATCCTGCAGATCAGGTTGCTCAGGGCTCCATCCAGCCTGGCCTTGGACACTTCCAGGTATGGGGCAGCCACAGCTTCTCTGGGCAACCTGTGCCAGGGCCTCCACAGGGAAGAATTTCCTCCCAACATCTACTCTAAATCTCTCCTTTTTAGTTTAAACCATTGAAAACAAAGAACAGCAGTAAAAAATGATCATAAAAGGGAATGGGTTTTCGCTCTGTTTGGCTCAGTTTAAGTGTGGGGCTCTGGAGAACCCTCTTCCATCCATAGCACTAACAGAGGTACTGACCTGGCTCTTCTTGCTCCAGTTTCAGGGCAGGGAAGCAGTTGTGTCCAGCTATCCAGGATCCAGCTGACACTGAAACAAGAAACCAGAACTGTGACAATTCACACACTTAGCAATGTTGCTTTTTACAGCAGACCCCTTTAGGTTGGATCCCTCTCTTTTCTACCCTCTTCTCCTCTACAGAAAGCCCAGAGCTGCTCTGGGTTGCCCATCAGCTCTCTGGAGGCTGCAGCTCCAGGAGAGGGGGCTGGCTGGCTCTGCTCTCACTGTTTATTTTCTGGGAAGTCAGGCTTGGTCAAGTGGAATGAAACTTGTGTTCATTTTAAGAAAGTTTATATTTGACTCTGGTAGGGCTGGGGAGGAGGTAAATGATAGGAAGAGGAGGGAAGGGCCAGAGATCTTATGGGGCTGCCCCCACAACACCACAAGCAGCCCCATGACTAAGGCAGCAAGAAGATGAAGCAAAGCACCAAAATCAAACATGACTATTGTTTTTTCTTTCTTCAAAGCTGAGAGATGACTCTAAAGCTAAATTCAGCTCTTACTCCACCACTGACCTTGTAGCCCATGCAAAAATGTAAACTAAATCCCCAACTTTTAAAAATCATCTTCTAAACTATGGAAAAACAGTTCCTAACTTTGCAGCACAACTCAACTCATTCTGCAGCAACAGTCTCTATTTGCTCCCCACACCTTGGGGATCTCAGAATGTCATCTGCCAATGCTGCCTGCAAGGGAAAGGAAGGGAAGGCTTTTTTTCATGCAGTTTTTGGAGCCATTTTGCTGGGACAAGGCACAGAAGTGGAAGTGGAGAGAAAAGCTGAACCACTCTGGACTTTCACACCAGCTTTGCACAGTTACTTGAATCACTTCTAAACCTCTTAGGCTGTACCTGCAAGCAGGATAACAGAAACAGCTGATGTAAATCCATGGCTTTGCATCTTTGGGGGCATCATTCCCTCCCCAGGAACTGCCAGGAGGGAGTGTAAGCAATCCTGCCTTGGCTGCTCACAGAGGAAGCAGTAAATGGAGATGCCCTGTGCAGGCTCTGTGTTCCCCATGTGGTGTAACCAAAACCAGTTCCTGCAATTCTGTGCAATAATATAGAAAGTTTGCTGGTTACTGCTCCCATCCGTCTCCTGTGGGTATGGACTCCTGGCCTCTGAGGAAACCAAGAATGCCATCCTTCCAGATTTATAATCACAGGCATTTATAAAGTACAGTGTTGTTGTTAGGTGCCTTGAAGCGAAAGGGGAAAATAATAAATAAACTATGTGGGCGTTGCCACTGGAAAAAAATAAAAGAAAAATCTGATCTCAATCAACCAACCACATTTACTGCTCTGCATCCATGGCCAGGCATAAACCACCCCTGTCAGCCCTTCACTCCTTCCAATGCTTCTCAGGAACATCCATCTTCTTCCACACGACGTCCCTGATGTCAAAAGCCAGACACAAATTAATTCTGGGAATCCCACGGTGGGGAGCCATTAGAGCCCATTCCGAGGCTTCTGTGGAGGCCTCTCCAGGCCCCTGTCAGGCAGCTCAGGCTGGAGCAGCTCTCTGGAGCCAGCCTGGAGCAGCAGCAGGGACACGCCAGGCTGGGCTGGGGCAGGGACATGGGGGATGTTTCTGGGGCAGGGTGGGCAGAGCTCTGCTCCAGAGAACTAAATTAAATATTTCTTTTTAACTCCTTAATTCTTAGTTAAGGCATTAAATCTCAGAGGTTTCATTTCCACACACCAGTTGCCTTCAAAATTTCTGCTGCAGTTCTCCAAGTCTTGGAAAAATAAGGCTGGAAAACAAGGAGGGGGAGCTGACCCTTATGTTCAGAGGGAACGTGTCTAACACGTCTCCTGGGTCAGAAGAAAGAGGGAGGCTCCTGCAGGTTTGGGGGTTTAAATTACCCCTCAGGGTCAGGTGTTCAGTAGCATTGCTCCTTCCCACATATTACATTTACACTGTCCAGTATCTCATGTTCTGGTTTTGAATGGCTGTGTTGAGACGTGCAGAGAGCTGGGAGGGTGGGGATGGGACAGGGACAGGGCCCTGCCTCCTGCTCACCTGGCCCAGACAGGATCCAGGGTCACACAGTTGCTCTCCAGCTGCTGGCACAGACCATCCCAGCACATTTGCTTCTCTCCAGCTCGTCCAACCCATGCATTTGCTCAATAACCCCACCTATTTTTATATTAATTTTATGGGGATTTCTTTTTCCGGGTATTGTCGAGCCTTGCTTCAGACAGTCCGTGGGTAAAATAAACATTTCCTGAAGATACATTTCCTTCCTCTGTGCTGCAGGAGAGGAAGAACACCTTGTCCTAAGCGGATATGGTGAAAGGTTTGGGTTGTTTTAGGGAGCTGACCATCATTTGGAGCTAAGCTCACACCTTCATTTGTGACCTCTCTGCTATTTTTAAGAGCAGACAAGAGCACTCAGTGCCATGTTCACCCTTTTAGGACCAGAGTGGTCCATACCCAACATCTGCCCCCCAGCTCCCTCCACACACAGCCTCCTCTGCCTGGATCCACACCCTCCTCTGCAGCAGATGTTGGTGAACATCCCCCACCTGCAGCAAAGACCAACCCAAAATCTCAGCCCTGCCAAGTCCCCTGACACTGGGCTGTGTTTGATCCAGCCACTAACACTGTGGTTATATTGGTTTAGGGCCCTGCAAGAACTACAAGCTGAAGCCAATGTGGTCAACTGGCACTCAGGGAAAAGAGCTGGTGATAAGAAGAGAAGAATATGAGTTGCTGTGTTACAACATCCTACTCACACCAATAGCCAGAACTTTAGAGGAAGGAGGGAAAATTCCCCAGATATTCAGGCATTGCAAAAAACAAAGGACCAAAGCCTGTTCCAGCCATCTGGGGGAGCCAGCCCAACCACAGAGACACAAAGGAAAAATTGGGAAAAGACCAGTTATGTTCAGGAGGGGCTTCTGTTTGTTCTTACCAGCATTTCCACACCCCATCTTTTGCATGATATTGGAGTTTATATGATATTTGTAGTGACAAGACAAGGGGGAATGGCTTCAAACTGAAAGAGAGTAGCCTTAGATTAGATGTTAGGAAGAGATTTTTTAATGTGAGGGTGGTGAGGCCCTTCTTGCCCAGAGAAGCTGTGGTTACCCCATCCCTGGAAGTGTCCAAGGCCAGGCTGGATGGGGCTTGGAGCAAATTGGGCTAGTGGGAGGTGTCCCTGCCCATGGCAAGGGGTGGAACAACAGGATCTTTAAGGTCCCTTTCAACCCACCCCCTCCTGTGATCCTGTGATATTTCTCCACTGTGGGAGCTGGCAAAGTGAACTGCAAAGCCCAGGCAATACACTGATATTTTCAGTACAGACAACAACAGAATAGCCATTTTCCATGGGTGAAGATGGATAAAAGAGTATTATTTAGAACTCCTTGAGTGCTAGGGTTCAGACAGTTCATTTAGTAGTTTTTAGAGCTCCACTACTGTTTTTCTTTGTGTTGGTCAAAGGACAAGACTTGTTCTTGGTTATTATACAGACCTGTATCTTGCCTTTGGCAATTCCACTTCAGCTGGTTACACCTCAGCATCCAAACTATACCAGCAGAACAAAGAGAGCTATTTACCTTCTTATATACCTGGGGCTAAATGCTTTTGACCATAACAGACATGAACTACTATTAGAAATCTGCCTTACAGACCATGTCTATAAATGCTTGAGAAGACAGGCTCAAAAGCAACATTTCAGGGATCAGGAACTAAATGCAAAGGAACAGAAACTAAATTCCTTGAAAGATCTATAAGAAAAAAACACAACAGACACATTAATTATTTAGCAAAACTCAGATGTCCATTAATGGCCACTTAGAGGGCATTTTGGCAGGATATCCTATCTCCTGGATCACTGGTGTATCCCTGTTTTCCTTTGGTGGGTTTGTGAGCCATTTCTCCTGTTCCTGTCACTGGGGTGAGGCTCTGCAGTTCCCTGCCTTGCTCTGAGTGGTTTCTGTTACCATCCCCACCCCTAGAGCCAGCACCCAAAAAGCCTCCCCTGAATGGCTGAACAGCAAAATGAGTCACAGCCCTGGGGACAAAGGAGCTCTAGCAGATACTAATTTTTTCAGCTGTAAATCGGTGAAGCCTCATTTTACTAAAATGTGGGATTGAATCTTCATCTCCCTCAGCCAGCAGAGCTTCCCACGGTGATGGAGATGTGGCCAATGAACACAGAAGCTTGGAGCAGGGACATTCCATGCTCTTGAGTGCCGCCTGCAGGCTTTGGGGCTGCAGCAATAGCGACTCTAAACCAACACTGAATGTAGTCACTTGGGCAATAAAAAGGGGTCTTACTACACTAAAATTCTAAAGAAATCAAGGATGGAAAATATGAGTATTTTTTGAATCAGTTCTTAGTAAGAAGAAGCTGAGATGGGCATTTTTTTCTCACAATGAGTCTTCACGATGATTTAAACCCAAAAGGTAAAATTTAATAAACAAGGCAGAGGGCCATAAACTCACACATATCAACCAGGGAGGAAACAGGCACAGGAATATCCCCAGATGTTGCTCCCTCTAACACAACATTGTGCTTTGACGAGGCCTCACAGACTTTCAGCCACATAAATGCCTTTGAGGATACTCATTCCAGCCCCAAAAGCTAGACCACATATGGAGACTTACAAAGTTGCTGCTGTTTCCAGGCTCTTTTCTTCCTTTCTTTTTCCCCATTCATTGTTGTACTGTTCCATGCTTCTTGGAGTACAGAAGTCCAGAGGCTCTGGCTTCAGTGTCCACAGAGAACCCCACCAAAGGTGTGACAACAGAGCAGGAGCAGTGATGTGGCACCTGGACACGTGGGTTGGAGCTCCCTGCCCCTGGCCAGCGGCTCTCCTGGAGCTCTGACATTATTAGTGCCTTCCTGAACCTCTTTGTTCTCTGACTGTCATGAGACCTGCAAACAGTTTCTCAAAGGGCTCAGATTTGTTCTGGCAGCCACCCATGTTCGCTTGCTCAGGTCCCCTGGGCCTGAGGCTGCTCCTGTCCCCATCCTGCTCCTGTCCCACCACTTCCTCCCTGTCCCTGCTCAAGGTACCACTCAGCTCATACTGCCCCAGCTAAAAAAACACAGGGTGTTTGTTTATGGAGCACATGGCACACTCAGAGTCAAAAACAGCTCAGAGGGGATGGGAGGGCCCCCCAGGATAAGTAAAAGTCCTTTGTGATGTGCAGCTCCCTTGGGCAGCTGAGCCCTGCTGGGCACATGGGCTCTGCCCTGTGTGTGAGGGGCTGGAGGGAATGAACCCCCTGCAACACTGCATGGGCCAGTCCCAGCTCTGAACAAGGGAGAAGTGGAAGGTAAAACAGAATGGGAAGGAGTTAAAACAATTCCAACAGTGGAAAAATTAATTTACCTTTTCTGATGATCTCAGACCCAGTGCTGGATCGTGGCTGTACTGACCTGTGACATCAGTGGCCATTAAAACCTAGCTTTCAAAATCCTATTTTCTTTTAAGGAAAGAAAGGTGTCCTACACTCCCCTTCCCTTGGAAATGCATGTTCAGTTCTATAGAGAACAGTAGATTTTGTTTCAAAGTAGATCTAAAATAGTTTTCATGTTTTTTGCCAGCTTGATTCAAACTGCAAGCAGTGATTTGGTTTTAAAATTTATAGAATCATAATAAAGTCTGAAGGTTACTGGTTTACTGGTTGTTTTGGGTTTTTTTAACTTTATAACTGAAAGTTATATTTCTTGTATAAATATAAAGGAAAAAGGAAAAGGACACGAGGAGGGAATAATAGATCAGATGAACCAGAAATACAGAACTGGTAAGTCTGGAAGAAGACTATATTAATTTTAAATCCTTTTTTTCCCCAGAAAAAGTGGAGCCTTTTACTACTCTGAGAATTTTTCATGGCAATTGCTGCATTGTCCACCCGACTATATTCAACTTAAAAAAATAGCACTTCAAGAATACATTTTAACAATCACTCATAAAATATAGTCTTTTCTCCTTTTCAGTGCTTTCTCTCATATGTCAAAGTCTCTGCCAGAAGTTCAAGGCCCTTCTCATTGAAAAAAGGAAGAAGAGAATGAGACAGAAGCAAGAGTGGGTTTAGGGGGGATGGAAAAAGGAAGAGAGAGGAACAGCCCTGACACAGCAGGTTGGGAAGGGTTCAATGTCCTGTTGGAAATCTGCCCAGGGAGCCCCAGGAATTCCTCAGTGACCCCCAGGCCTGGCCAGAGGGGTTTGTGAGGAGCACATGGAACAGCAGCAGGGCTGGGAATGGGCTGGGAATGGGCTGGCAGGGCAGGGATCTCCAAAACCAGCCCCACAGAACACACAGGGCCATCCCTGGCAGGCTCTGGCTGCACACTGGGATTGACCCAGGAATGAGCAGGGAAAAAGGGGTAATGGCTGTCCAGTTGGCAATTCCCAGTTAGCTTTATAATATTAATAAGTGCCTGAGTGATATTTTGTTTCTGGTTTAGGCTGAAGCCTCTCTCTTGTTTCTTCTTCCTCTAGAAAGCAAAACACCAGCCCAAAGTCCCTAAAACACGGCCACTCATCTTTAGCTCCTCTCCTTATTCAGAGACTTTTCTGCTGAAGAACAAAGAACTAGATCTAAAATGGACTTAGGGAAAGCATTATGATTGCTTTTCTTCTCTTACAGAAAACCAGAAACCTGAGTGTTACATCCATGTGAGAATGTGTAGGGGAAGAACAAGGATTAAAGATCTGTCTTTATGGAGTATTTTTCATCCAGAGGATCCCAGTGGCCTCAGCATCACCAGTAACACTAATTTCACTGGAGAGTTATGAGCCCACCGTGAGTAAAGGATATGCAAGGCACCAAGAAAACCTTAACAGCTTCACCAGTGAAGCTCACAAAAAAACCCAGACAAAAATCCACAAGAAATTAAGAAATAAAAACTCCTGTGAGGATGCTGCCATGAGCAATGCAACGATTCCCAACAGAAAATAAGAATAAGACATTTAAAAGACATATCACTCACTTCTGAAATGCAGGGAACCGTGTGGTGCCCAGGAGGCAGTCGGGTCCCATCACTGTGTGACAGGCTCCAGGAAAGGAAGGGCCAGATCTGTGTGACACTAGAGGGGAGATCTGGAACAGGAAGTTGGTTAGGAACGAGAGCAGCAGAATAAATATAATGGCAATGAGAAGGGAAACAAAACCAAAGAGTGATTTTAACGACCTAAAAAAAAAAAATCAGCATTTAGAGCAAAACTGGGAAGTATTGGCTTCCTTTCTTATACAGCTTATTTACCATTGCTTCCACACCATAGACTTGTCAGGGGCAAATCTGCCTTTTCCCTCAGCTTGTGGGAGAGGATCAAAGCTATCTCCTAGTCTCCAGCTCCTTTTAAACACCAGATTATCCCCATGCAATGCAACCTCAAGTCCTCCACTCTGACCAGTCCCATTCCTTCAGCTGCTGGGGTTTATTCTCTGAAGTTTGTATCCTGGAGTCCCAGTAGCAGCAAAACCAGCTGCCAAAATCCTGAGAATATCTGCCTTGGAATCTCAACTACTGTGTGAAACTGCTGCTCTCCAGTTTGAGATTTGTGTTTGCAAAGGAAATCTGTCCAACAACAACATCGAGAGAGGAAAAAAGGAGGAAAAAGGGCTTTATATAACAGAATTAACAGAGTTGTTGCAATAGTAACGTGTAGTTAACAGGCAACTTTTCCTCCTCCTTCTCTGCCCCCATCCCAACCTCCTCCTCTAACAGCAATTTCATTTGTTTTTGTTTCCAAGCTTCTTTTACTGGCCACTCACACAGACCCGCTCCCTTTGTCTAATTTGGATCTCAAAGTTCCATGCAACAGACTCTTGCTGTAACTGTAAATCTTTTTATGGCCCTTCTGCCTCTGAACTGTAAAAGCAATGCCACTGTAAGCTGCCTAAATGGTTCATAAATCCACTTAGTGCACTGAATGAGGGAAAAAGTTTTTAAGGGAAAGAAGGGAAAAAAAAGAGGCAAACTAAGGTGGCTGGAGGGACACAGGGGAAAAAAACCCCAAGAATGTATTTGCTAAATGGAAACAACATCACAGGAGTCAAAGGGAAAATATGAATGCTGGGGGGGGTAAAGGATGAAATAATGCATGTTGGTGGTGAAACCCAACTGCTGCTGCAGGGCTGGGCAGTTCAGCAGCACTCAGCATTCACGGGAGGATGGTGGGTGCCCTCTCCACTCCTGTTGGCACCAGCAGGATCTGGTAGCACCAGGAGAGGCTGTGAGCCTGCTGGCAGCCAACTGACTCTCTTTTTCCACTGGGTGGTCCAAGGACTGGTATCTGGGGCTCATTCCAGCTCTTTTGCACTGCCTGACTCCAGGTTTAGTTGTGGCTCCGTGTCTCAGTTTATTCCATTCTGTAAATGGGAGATAAAGATATTCCCCTTATTTGTAAAGGGTTTTGAGAGCTGCTGAAATGCCACCAGGGAGGGGCAGAACTGATTCCTGTGGCAGTCAATAGCAACAGTTTAATTTGTTTCTCTGGAAGCAGAGCTGGCCCAAAATGGGCCACTTTTGTCCATGTAATTTATTGCATTTGTCACCATGGTATCTGAGCTCTAAGAGTATTATCCAAATTCCACTGAATTCACTGAGTGTCTTTCCACTGCTTTCAATAAGTTTTGGATTTAACCCTAAAGTCACAAAAAAAACCAAACCAAACCAAACCAAAACAAAAAAAAAAAAAAAAAAAAAAAAAAAAAAAAAATCCAAACCTGAGGAGTATGTCAAAAGAATGTAAGTGGGTGTGAGTTGAAATTGAGGAGTTTGGAGACGGGAGTATGCAGAACAGTAGCTATTTAAAGACCAAGTTTGCTACTGAGTGTTCCCTTTTAATAGGGTTATATAAATACATTCCCGTCTCGATGCATGTGGAAAAACAGGCAGTGAGGTGAGACTCTATTGCTTTATTTCTTATGGGAAACACTGTGCACAGCTAAACCACCTCTTCCCCTTTCCTCATCCACCACCCACAGTCCCTGGAAGCCTCAGCAGCTGTGCAGGGTGAGGAGGCACGTCCGGGAGCACAGAGAGTTAAAAAGTTCACAGCCCTGCCCTTAAATAAAGCCCCTGTTTTCACTGTGTTCTCACTTCCTTACAGCCTGGACAGGAGTTTTGGCACTCAGCATGTCAGAATGGGAGGGGAGGCTGGTTATGCCTTTTTATTATTATTATTATTTGACTGGTCTGCTCCCTTGCAAGGAAAAGAGAAGGGAAGAAAAACGTTCTTGCTTGGCTCTCTGCAAGGACCAAACGAGTTCCAGGGCAGTTGCCTCAGGCCAGGGGAGCCCCCCAGAAACCACTGCCCCAGTGGGCACCAGCTGGCACCTCAATTCCCATCCTCAGGACAAAAAGCCAGTGGCCAAAGAGGACTGTGAGATGAACCCTCTCTTTTTCACCAGTACCACACATATGGTGCACTGACCAACAGGTCAGTTCAGGAGATTCTCACACTATAACTTAAAAGAATCCTATTAAAATGATGGAAATCTTTGACTATGAAAAGTGGGGTCTGCACCTGGATAGTAATTATGTTTCAAAGGAAATCCATCTGGTATTTTATTGCTTATTGTCTCCCTGCACTTTGTGTACGAGAACAATACCAGGGCTGGAATATTTCATATCGGGAGACTTCCAAAAAGCTGTTTGCACTCTGTCAGGCCAATAAGCCACATAGATTTTTGCAATATTATATCAATTACGGGTAATAACTGGAACACACACATTTTAAAAACCTTCCTGAAAACACTGGTATGGATACTTGGAGCAGGCAAACTCCATCAGACTCCATGGAGTTCATATGCCCAAAAACAGTTAAATCTTTGGTGTCTGGAAAGTTTTACAACTACAGCTAAAGTCAAGGGAAGCTTCTTTTTGCCCTCACCAGAGCCAGAGCAATGTGCTGCACTGAGGACTGAACCCTGTGGCATGTGCAGGCTGGGGAGCAGGGCACAGATGGCACAGGGTGCAGCACAGGACAGGCCTGGGGGAACCTCTGGCCAGGTGAGAACCAGCTCCGAGACCAAGACTCGTGTCCATGTGTTAACAACATCAGCCTGGAGCTGGGTCAGGCCTGGCCATGTGCAAACCACCATTTTATATTATAAAGAGCACACTGTAAAAAGAAAACTATAAAACTATAAAAGAATTGGGTACCACCTTTAAAGACTCTGGGAGTGCAACGAGAGCCTTAAAATAAAATCACATCCAGCCAGAGCGACCTGATGACAAGGCAACCTCTCCTTCACTGCCAACTCAAGTGATTTTGTTAATTCCAGTGAATATATCACAGGTCTCAAGATGACTGATGCTTTCATTGCTGCCTTGGCTTCAGCCATTAGGTGATTGTTATGAATCTCAACTTCCATTTTTTAAAGTTTTAGCTGTCACCATTCAAAGAAATGGTATTAAAAATAAACAATGAAAACTTAAAAGAAAGAGGGAAAACATAAGGTAATCCCTACGGAAAAGCAGAAGACAAATTAAAAAATGGTATTATAGTAATTATTTCTTACCTGTCTTGAACTTTTAGTGGTGATGTTTGATGGCCAGAGCAGAGGTTACTGGCTGGCTGACAGCAGCAATGTTACTGTAAATGAAACCCATGCAACAGAATTTGGCTATAATCTACATTTGCTTTAAATTTGTGCAACCTCTAGTACAGAACTAGGAAACAGTCACAGATTTAATTTACTTTTCACTTCTGATGCTCTCTGCATATTGTGGGGGATATGGTTTTGGCAAGGAGTTTGCATTTATTAGCACGTATAAATTTACCAGGAATGTTTGGTCTTGCTGTTAAAGCTCAGATCTAGAAGACAGGAATATGTCAGAAGCTGAGTGTCATTTTTAAAAGCAAGCTTCAAACCCATGTATTTTTGCTTAAATACTTCACAAGTAAACCAACTGCACCTAGAAGAGTTGAGAAGGCAGAAACCCGACATGACCTGAAATATTCTTTCTAAAAACTTATTTAATTATTTCTGAGACTTGGAAACCTTATTCATGATTTCTATATATTTGGAATTGGAAATACTGCTGCTAACTGCTCGTCACTGTTCCACATGCCATCACCCAGAGGCAAGGACAGATTTCTTTCTCCCAAACCAAACTGGAGGGAGCAGATTTACTGGAATAACTTGCAGAGTCACACTTCAGCAGCTCAGGGTCACCAGAGGATGTTGGCACTCGGTGCCCTCCCCACTCCTGCCATGTAACAGCACTGCAGGCACTGCAGGCAGAGCAGCCCAGGGCTCTGGGGGAAGATTCGGGGACGAGACTGTGCCACAACCACCCTGTGTGCCCCTGGCTGGCACAGACCAGTCCAAGCTCCAAGGAGAATCACACACCAGGGACCTGGACCTTCACCTCTGCTGCCTGAACTGCCAGTGGGACATGGAGAAAGCAGCATTGCCAAGGCACAAACCACTACCCAAGGTGTGATGAAGGTAATTCAGTCAGAGCATCACAACACACACTGGGGAGCTGGAATGGGCTCACCTGAGGACAGTTGGGGTGTTTGATGAGCAACACGTTGTGCAGAGACACCAGCTCAGGAACTTGGACCAAAACAGGGTGAAGAAGGTCTTACACTGGTGAGGTGCCTCCTCCTCAGATCATCTGGATAAGTCCCTGCTGTGCATCACTGCCCAGAGGGAGAACAGCACCACAGGAACATCACACTGGAGAGAAAAAAAATGCAACAGAAGATATTCTTATTTCTGAAATTTCCAAAAAGATATTCAGAAGTGTTAGAGTTCAGAAAAAGACTTTTATTCTTTCCTTAAGCAGGTATAGAAAACAAAAGAGATTTGGATAGAAATTTGTGCCTAGCTCTGAACTGCTGCTTTATATCTGCTTGCTTTGCTTTTACTCCTCTTGCCAATTAGATGAAGAGAACAATTTATTGTGGGGTCAGCCTCAGCTTTTTGTTCCTGTCAGTTTATTTTGGATCAGATTCCTAAATTCACATACACAAACTCAAGCAACTCTTTACATCCACACATAACCTGCCCACGCTGGTAAAGAGAAGAAGCCTCCTCTCACAGCTTGAGGAGAACCTGCTGTCTGCAAACTCCTTCCCCTCTGAACCATAACCTTTGACTCCTCCTGGGGGGAGAAGGGAGAAATGCAATCAGGTGCAGAATTCCAATACATCCCTCTGGGGTGACAGACATCCAATTTCCAAGCAACCATTAAAAAGTCCATATGGAATTCCATCTTTAATATGAAGCAACAAGAAACAGGAAAACCCACCGGGGAACACATGCTGTGTGTTACTCCTGCCTGGGGGGTGGGCCAGTTCTGAGCCTTTCCAGGTGCTCTCTTCTCCACAGAGCACGAGCTGTGGGAAGGTTCAGCACACTTGGGGTGCTCTTACACTTTATTATTATTACTATTATTATTTTAACTAAGAAGCTAGCTGCTTGGTCCATTTGAGAAGGGTAAGGCTTTGAGACAGATGTGGAAATATTCTGAAGACACAACAGTCAGGCAGTGGAACACATCCAAGATTATATGAAACATTAAGCGAGTGGAAAACATTTATTTTCCCATCTCATATTCCACCACAAACTTGTATTTCACAAGCTTATCTTCATATCTGCATTATAACTGAGCACTAATTGTGTTTTCCTCCATATTTTTTTCAGTAGATCCAAAATGTTCCAGCCTGGAGTCTCCACATCCATACCACAAAAAGTTGTTTTCTGCCCCTCTGGCATCAGCTGAGCAGGCAGGAGCCAGGGGGCAGTGCCAGAGACACTGATGGACTGCAGGGCCACACTGCTGCCCACGGGCCCTGCAAATGAAGATGAAATGAGGCTCCCTTGTGTGCAGCACATTGAGAAGATTTTGGCCCCCATTTCAGCGTGACCCAATAGGTTTAAATTGCTTCATTTCTCAGCCAGCCAAGAGCAAATGGGTGGTAGATGTGATATGGCTGTTCACTGGAAACCACCCCTGATTGATTTACCTCCTCCTCCCCGGCAGTGCAGGGGCTCAGTGTGTGGCTGGGGCACATAAATTACACAGAAAAACCCTTTGCTGGTTGTGTACAGTCTATATATGTTGTCACCCCATCAGAGGAGAAGCTTTTATGAAGTATTAGCTCTAAGTGTATACAGAACAGAAATGATCATTTTTACTTGCTTGACAAAAGCTAAGTCACATTTCAAAGTAATACTTTTGAGTTAGAATCAAGTAGAACCAAGTAACTTTGATCATTTTTTTCAAGTAAAGAAACAAACAAACAGAAAATGCTACTGCTGGTTATAAAAACAACAGGAGAATTTTTAGGAGTTATTTTGTTTGTTTTTTTAAAAACTAATAAGAGCTGTGAAATTCAAAAAGAGTTTTCAGTTTTCATTAGCAAGATTTCAACACTCTGGATTTGCTTTTGCCTTTTTGAAAGAAGATACAAAGACATTTCATTTTAACATGTTTGCAGAAAAAAAAAATTAATTGCCACCAGCACTACTACATTGTTATTTCTGGGGGACGAGTAACAATAGATTGGAGAATTATTCACAAGAATCATTTGGGTGATTTACATACTTTATTGTGATTGGAACAAGGAGCACATTTCAGGCTGTCATACTCACAGTGCTGTCCACAGATGGGTGTAGTGTTGAGAACAGTCACTTGAACCCAAATTGAAAAGAACTGAGATTAAAACAATAAAGCTTCAAGCCAAGGGGTGGGTTTGTCTGGGGTTTGTACAGCACAGGGAGCAGGGTCCTGACTCCAGCCTGCACTTCCCAGGGGACACAGCACTGACAGTCACACACACACACAGCACAAACTGGTCCCAGAGCAGGTCTCTGCTCCAGCCTGGCTGGAATGCACGGGAGAATCTGGCTCTGGGTGGAAGAGGCTGTGAGAAGAAAAGGGAGGAAAAGATTTCGCAGGTCTATGCTTAATAGTCATTAAAATCAGGCTTTAAATCAGGTAAATTAGGACAACCATGCAAGGTGAGATTTTTAGATTATTTCTTTTAGATTATCCCAGTTTTCAGGACACCCAGAGTCCACCCCTCTCCAAGTAATAAGCCTCAAATATTTCTGTAATGTGTCTCTCATTTCCATCCTTAAGCTCAAAACTTCAAAACTACCCCAAGTGAGATGACTTGTTTTCTTTCCTTACCCAAGCCAGCTGAAGGCAACAGAGATCCCCCCTCCCCACCAAGGTCAGTACAGATTTACAAGATTCAGATCTATTTTAACATTTTGATGTCCCTTCAGTTCTGAAATCAGCCATGGTTCTCTGGTTACTGCAAAGTAGACAGTGCATCACTGCTGGCTGCAGAAACCCTGGAGAAAGTCAGAACATGGGATAATTAACAGTTCCCAGCAAACTTCCACTCTTCAGATCAGTTGGGTGAAGAAGGGAAATGAATATATTTTAAGCATAAAATATTGCTCGCCCTGTGTTGAACAAAACCAAAGACTCCAATGCAAAAAAATACCAGGAGATGTGACCAGACTCAGAACATTTCAATCAGATGTGTTACCCTACAAGTCATTTCAAGACAATTTGAAAACAAAATCAATGTTGCTGATATGGATAATAAACCTCTCTTTACAAATGCATTAATAGAAGTATCAGTTTAAAAAGAAAAAATGCAGTAAGATTATAAATTTATTAAGCAAAACTCATTGACTGAACAGTGCAGACTATTGTCAGCCACTTCTAGGACTTTGTTATGCAGTTCTTCAAAGCTTAAATAGCACAATTAATCAAACTAATTGCAAGCCTGGAAATTCTTTATTCATAACAGTAAATAACTACATCTATTAAGTAACTTCTTGTAATGTAAATCTCACTATTGAGGCTGATATTATCATGTGTTTTCCTCCTAATGGATTTAAAGTACCTGCAGTAAATAAGAGCCGAAAGTCAAAGCTTTTTTAAAGCAAAATATCCCACTTCTAATATTTAAGAAATTCCTTCTAGACACTTGAAGATGCTCATGTTACAGCAGACTGTGGGAATGCCCTTCAGTTCCTTACACATTACATGTCTAATAAAGCCTCATGTCCCAGTGACAGAAGCATCTGGCTCTTCTTTCCTAATCAATAATATTCAGCAAAAGTCCCTTCTTCCAGCAGCAGCATAAATTATCAGATATATGCAAATAGACTTGCTAATGTTAATTGCCAGGGCTGATTGGTGATTAATTTTTTGATTATGATCAATCACTCCACACGAATTTTAATAAGACATTCAAGGCAATCTGCAAATTGATAATAATTAGGGCTCCCAACTGGTAATGCACCCACAGCCAACTCTGACACAGCCCTGGGACAACACATTCCTGGGACAACACAGCCCTGGGACAACACAGCCCTGGGACAACACAGCCCTGGGACAACACAGCCCTGGGACAACACAGCCCTGGGACAACACATTCCTGGGACAACACATTCCTGGGACAACACAGCCCTGGGACTGAGCATGGTCCTGGAACAACGTTCTCCAGGCTGGAAGAGAGAAGAGAAAGATCAAAGTCTCCACATCATCTCTAACAAAAGCTCCTTTTTTGCCATTTTTAGGGTAAGATGGGCTATGGTGTCCTCCAACACAACTGGCCACCTTCTTTGTGTCCCTCACGAGGTCAGAAGTTAAATGGGAGTTTCATTTACACAACAATACTTTGGAAACTGTTACCCCAATTTGCAGACTGCCAGCCATGAAAACAACCACAGGATCCCAAAAAAACCAAAGGAGGAACATCTCTCAGAACAGTCCTGCCAGACCTGCAGGGAACACGGCCAGAGGCAGGATACAATTAGAATTTCAGGCCCTGCAAATCAAAAAAGGGCCAAACAGAAGGTTCAGGTAATGTCTTTCTTTTCCTAAAGCAGAGCAGGCAAGAACATTCAACTTCCAGCAAACAAGAAGAGGAATGTTTTCCCTCTGTGACACTTGTTTGTGTACTTCAGGGGGAAAGTTCAGTAAATATAACAGCTCAAAATGCAACATGATTAATAATATTTCCTTTCCAAGGGAATTCTCTTGCAAACATAAATATTTCCACACAACACTTTAAACCCAAACACTCTCGCTGTGCACGGCCCAGGACTGGAGAAGGTCGGGAAGTTCTCCAGACGTGCAGACCCAGTGCTGGACTTTGCTCTCCATCCAGAAGGACAGACAGACCTCGACACCTGCGAGGAGCAGCTCAACAACCATCACCTGCTGCCAAAGATGAGGGAATGCCAGGGCAGGATCCAGAGGACAGTCCACTGAGAGCACATTGTACCTCAGCACTGCCCTGTCATGGCCAACTGATATCCAGGCTTTTGAAATTCCTGTCCCCATGGCCCAAATTCTGATTTGCACAAAATACTCCTCTTTATTTGTCAAGAATGGTGTGAAGGAGTTGGAATACAAATGAAAATAAATCCCTGAGGTCTACAATTCTTTCAGTTCTTTCAGTGCTGCCAAATGGACCATTTTATGATGAGGTCCCAGGTATTTTCTCCTCTATTTGAAGAGCTTGCAGTTACTGCAGTGCAAGTAGCTCAGCTTTTGTTTTCATTAAAAAGACAGAGTAGGATTGGCCCCTACTTTTATGTTAAATTTTCTGAACATAAGTTAGGTTTCAGTTGAATGTTATTTTGCACAGGAAATATCTTCTTCCTGAATATGTCATCTTTTCAACAAGAAACTGAAACGTGGTTTTTACAAAAAGTGCAGCTTTAAGTGAAGCTTTTCAACAAATAGGAAAATATTTTCTTTTCCTCCCAACAGTTTCAATAAGAAAAAAAGCCCAAACTGTAAAGAAGTGTATTCTTGCCTTCTCTCCTATATAGCAAACAAGAAATGTTTTAAAGTGACACATGTATACATGAGGTTTTTAACTACAAAATGGCTTTTATCTTGGCATTTTTAAAAGCCTGGCTCTATTCTTGGCTTAGTCTTATAATTCTCATCCAGTTTCAAGAATTTTAAACAGTTATAGAGGGAAGTTAGTGGCCACAGCAAGGACAGTGTCACGAGGAGCAAACATAAGTGTGTAACAGACATTTACCTTGGACAAAACCAGCCCAGTTCTTCTCTAGTTGTCCCAGTTCAAGAACTCCCCTCTAGCCAGGGAGGGATTCTGCTGTTAAACTAATATCTTTGATAAACCAATTAGGTCCTTACTTTTTAAGTTAACATTCCATTAGTTTTATTTTTTTTAATTCTGCATATTTTCTTAAGCTAAATAATTAAAAACGCTTAGGTTCCCTTTGCAGCTGAGATCCCTCGCTGTTCCCTTCATTAATCCCTTCAGGAAAACTGAAGTGCTGCCACGTTCCTTGGGTTGGGTCTGTCATCCCTCCCCAGCTCCTCACACTTGTACAATTCACAAGGTCACGAGCACAAAATGTGCTTGTTAACTGACACAAGAATAAAGCTGTCAGATGGGCTGAGGGCTCCTTGTGTACCAGTTTAGTGAAATATGATTATCCAAGCTGTAAAATGGATAAACCTATTAAATTAATAAATCTGCTGCCCTGAAGACTACGACTGATGTCGCTGCCTTACCTACAAGGCACCTCTTCTTAAATTAATACTTGATAAAGGAATAAATCTCTTAAAGACACACACTAAAGCTTTGCATTGAAGAGTTATCTTTTGTGTTACAAACTGTAAGTACTTTTTACTGCAATGGATCTAAGTGAGAGAAAATGAATTCCAGAAAAAGAAAAGGAATCTTAGAAAAATGTTATTACCCAGCTAACACTGTGGGCTGCTTCTTATCTGTACACAACTAATCACATCATGTTTCTTTTCTTATTCTAATGTGTGTGGATTTTGGTGCTCATGAAAGTGAAGGATAATTAGCAGGGTAGTGGATAAAGTGGAAGGGCAGTGCCTTATCAAAGGCAGAGTGGGTCAGCTGCACATGGGCAAAAGGAATCAGGATTCTCCTCATTCGGCTGCTTTGATTTATTTCTCTGAAGGTCCAACAATGAAGTTTCACATCAGGGGAGAGAGAGGGGAAAAGACTTTCAAAGGGTTCATCCTTCTTGACTTCTCAGAAAGCCTTTAGCTTATTGTGTTTGTTAGGGTGCAATATCACTGTTCTCTATTATTATTAATAATCTATTACACAGAGATCCTCACAGAAACAAAAATGAACTCGACAGGGCACCAACCAAACACACAGCAAGATGACATCTCTGCTGCTGAGATTTTACAGTCTAAAGTATAAAAACCAAAAAGTGGAAGGGGAACAGACACACAAAAGGAGCTGCTTTAAGATCACCTGGTAACGAAGCAGCAAAAATATGGAACAGAAAACAGAGTCCCTGACCCAGCCCCAGCCCCACTGATAAACTTGTACTGCACCAACGTTAAAAAGGAGACAGAAATCAAATCTCAGCGCATCCAAAGGCATCCAAAGGCATCCAACGGGCTCAAAACTCAGAAGTGAATTTGTAAAAGGAAACAGGAAATGAAAACTAAAGAGGGTTGACATGATTACGGGGTGTTAATAAGAAAAGACATAAGCCAGGGGCCTTGATGTACAACTAGACAACAAGAGGTTACGTTTGGAGTCAGGGCTATGCTAATTTGCAAACTTGGGCCCATTTCATTAAGTGAGCTGAGAGACAGCCTGTCTCAGTCCAGCAGAGAGGGATCTCATTATCCATGTAGGGAGCAAGAGATAAGAATCTTTTAATAATTGCTGGGACTTTTTTTTTCAGATGATATGGAATGCCAATTTATGCCTCTCCACTCAGTGTGGATAAAAACCAGCCTCCTTCACAGCTCAGACCAGCCCCCCTCCTGGCTGTGGCCATTAGGACAGGGAGGGAAAACAGAGACTAATATGTTTGCCCGGGAGACCAATGCTGTAAAACTCCATTAAATGCACTTCATATTGGGAACATGTTTGTTTACAGTGGATGGAATACTTTGCCAAGGATTTTTACTTAATTATTAATAATTATTAATAGGCACAGCTGTAGGATTTAGGTCCAAATCTAAACCCCTGCCAGTGGGCAGGACTGCTACGGACAAGCACCCCTTGGATCAAACCCTTGACTCATTCCTTCTGAAGGAATGGCTCTGAATCCATACCTTTGGAAAAAAGCTAAAGAGCATATACACCTTTTGGCAGAAGCACTGTTTTTAGTGCCTTCCCCTTGTCCCTCTCCAAAACACATCCACTGCAGCCACGAGAAAGGAGCTTTCTGGAAGGCAGAGGTTTGTACAGCTCTTCCCTTCCCTGCCTCCTTCAGACTGAGCACACCATGGACTTTGTGACAGGGACAAGTTCAGTCCAAGAGGGACCAATTTGGAGAGACCTGAACCTTTCACATGACAGTACAAACACTTCTTAAAAGCACTGGCAAAGTCAGACAGAGTCTCATGCTCATGTCTGACATTGCTAAAAGCTCAGATATAGATGCAGTAACTTACCAAAATCACATTAATGGCACTTAACTTTTAAGGGTAAACTTTTCCCTCTGCCCAAATTTACACCACAAGGAAAGGAGGAAGCAAAACTGTTTCCACAGCCCAATCAGCTCTTTTGCTTGAAGTCCTGTGTTGGATGTACACCAGTGTTGGAAAACATTGTCCAGGGAACTCTGAAGCCATGCTTATCTCCACAGCTGGCTGCAGGGTTTGTTTCTATGCATTGGATCAACCCAAGGACTAAGTACAACTTCTCTATCTCCTCGACAAGAACTAAATTATCAGGTTATATTCAGCTGACCTTGCCTCTTTTCCCAGTTTCTTGTTGTTCATGAACCATTTTTAGTTTTCCATGTGCCCATTTACTATTGGCAATAATTTGGCCAGTATCTTTTGTGAAAGGCATGCCCAGTCTTCACTGTGCAGGCAAGACTGGAGAAAGGAGGATTGGCACAATGAAAGCTGACTTTTCTGGATAAAAAGCTCATGTTCTGGATCCTTAATTCAATAGGAACAACTTAAAAATCAGCTATGTGGGCACAGATACTCACTCAGGTTGATGAAAGTGCCTTCTGCAAGCACTTTATGATATTTACATTTAAGGAAAAACCATTTACTTTTTTGCTTTTGATTTAAACCATTAAATTTCAGCCTGGATATTTAAAGATAAAAACTAAAATGCATAATGTGACACTCCTGAGGCATCACGTTGGTTGCTCTGCTCTCTTCTGTCTCCTGTCCACATGTTCCTCTTGTTGAGTTGGAAAATGTGTATCCAGGTTACCTTGGTTTGAATTTATTTGCAAAGTATTGAGTTAAAAGTCCAGCTGTAATATAATTAGAATTAAGTAGGTTAATAGGCTCCAGATTTTTTAAAATATATTAAAAGGAGATATCTTTCTCTCTCTCTGCTTATTTCTCATAATTGCAACATGAATTTAAGGTACTATAAAATTAATAGAACATTGACTCTAGAGACTGAAGTCTCCTGCCCAGGCAGACAGACAGCCTGGCCCTGCCGTGCCCCCAGCTGTGACATAACCCTGCCCACCAGAACAACTGCTTTACCTCTGGGCACTCTCATTTATTGACCCTCTAAGAGGGATGTTAAAAGACCAATTGCAGCTAATAATGTGTAATGCTTTCTGTGAGCTCAATCCTTGACCATAGAGAGAAGATTTTAAATTACTCACCTCATTACTTGCCACAGAAAATCTGAAGGAAAACCACCCTCTCCTACTGAAAATATAGATATAGATGATATAGAGATAGATAGATAGATAGATAGATAGATAGATAGATAGATAGATAGATAGATATTGATGGCACACAGAGGGAGATTTGCAGGTTGGAAGTACAGATATGGTGAAGTCACCTTTAGCCCACAATGGGTACGGTTTGAGTTCATGGTTTAGGAGGTTTTGGTAATTAAACTTACACAGTAAAACCAGTTTCCTTGTCCCGTTTCCTCGAGAGACCCTTTTGGCTGATGTTGGTGTCTGAGCAGCCAGGGCAGACTGGAGATGTCACAGCCACTGTCCCATGGCCCTGAGGTTCTGAAATGGATGGACTGTGCATCCAGGTCCACTTAGGAAAAAATCTCCTGTTTTCTGTGCCCTCATTTCCCTGCCAGCTGTGGCTGTAGCTGGCAGGCAGAGGCTCTGTGCTGTGAACACAAGAAAGAGGAGACACAAAACAAGGCTCTTGCTCACAGCTTCTGCAGCTGAGCCATTCCCCCCAGCCACATACCTGTGCATGTGCAAGTATAACAGATCTGTGCACACCAGCACATTCACTCAAGTGTAGGATATGACATAATTATAGCCAATTAAATAATTTTCCCTAAGATGCTTTTTAGAAATCAAGTTGTTACCTATTCATCAGGCTGTCAGTAAACACATCTCTCTCACATACAACATGTTTAACTTTGGCTCATGTTACATTACTCATACACAATCCTTGTGGTAATTAATGACACCTCTATCAGTTCCCAGCTTTTCCAAACCCCTGCAAACAAACAAAATTATTAATAATTGAGGGGACTATCCTTTATCCATTTGAGACCGGTTAGGTTTGGCTTGTTTGTTTGCTTTTTCTTACTATTTCTATATTCAACACAACTTCTAGAGGTGGGCATGGAGTCACTGACCCCAGTCCTGGGAATGCTCAGTCCTGCCAGCACCTGGAGGAAGGGGATAGAGCACATCCAAGAATTGAGGAGTTCAGCTTGAGGAGGCTCAAGGTTTGCTTTGCTAGGTGTGCATTCAAAACTAAGTACTGTCACTTCACAGATGCAAATACATATACATGCTCATTTTGGTTCAGAAACACACTTGTTTTTGCCTATATATGTATATACATATATACTCACGTGTTCTGTAAGTTCTGCAAGCCAGCCCTGGGCCTGCAGCCCAGCTGATTACAGTTCTGTGGGTTATGTTAGTTCTGGCTCAGTTTTCTGAAGTTATGTCTGCATTTTCCCCTTGCATCAGGCAGTTCTTCCAGAGGCAGTGAGTGTTGCAGTCATAGAAGAAGGATGACGTATTGCCTGGGTCCGGAAATGTCAAGTGGACTGGTGGGAAGTGCATTTTGTGATGTTCATGGCAATGGCTTCACTAAAGCCCAGCCTGCAAAGCTGAAGGGCTTTCTCAGCCCCTCTACAACCTGGGCTTTTCCTCAACATCCACCAGCTAGACCTGCTTTAATCCATCACAAACAGCTTCTGTCCTTATCCTAAATAAGCCATGGAGCTTAAACAATGTTATTTAACCTCCCGTGCCCTCTCCCCATATTTCTGCTGGTGCCAAACACCCATAAACTCATTCCAAAAAGCCACACGTTACCCAAGCAGTGCTGCCTGAGGAAAGCATTCAGGAGTGTTTATGGGGCAGCTGAAGTGTAATGATTTAGTAGATGTTTATAAATGTTTATACTGTACAGATTAACATTCCCCAGGGGGCCTGTAATGAAGAGAGTGCTCCAACTGGAATCCAACCAGCCAGCCTGGGCTGAATGAGCATGAATGAATCCTGCTGGCCTGCCCTCCCGAGCTGTTTACTCGCTCTGAGTGGATTTCCTCCATCCCTGCTCCTCTGGCATCTTCTTTTGGGACAGGCAGTAGAGGAATCTGGTCTCAGAAGGAGCACAGTTTGGAAACAAGTTAGAAAATCCAGCCCATCACTTGGGTCATTGCAATCATTCTCAAACTGCACCAGACAAAAGAACAAAGAGCCCAACCCTTGTGCTGGGGAAGTGGAGGCTGGAACTCCCGGTGACTTCAAAGGGAGCTGGGTCTCACTCTCAGAGCGTGGCTTTCAAACATCACATCCAAGTGTAAACACTGCAAATCATATTGAAGCAACTGAGTCCTCCTATTGGAGCAGGAGCAGGGTCTTGGTACTTGCAGAGTTTTGTGTTAGGTCACTGTGTTTACAAACCATGACTTCAGACAGTGTGACAATGTGCTGGAGGTTCCCAGAAATAGCTGATGAAAGAAACACTGACCTACTGTGGGGAACAGCTCCACCAAACACCCACTTGGAGAGGATTGAACAGCTCCACCAAACACCCTGGAGGGAAGGGACATCTCTTATCCAGAGTAAGAATGAACACCTTCAGTTTGTTCAGTGATGGCTCAAAGAATAAAAATATCTGCACCTGGTATTGGGATTCATGCAATGGGTTTTAAACTTCCACAGGCTTAACAACATGAACACCAAACTCAAAAATTAAGGCTGGGAACTGGTGGGTGAAACTGGGCCTGCCTTGATGCCTCAGAAGCAATGAGCAAGCAGGTTTTAAAAGAAGCTAACAGCAGTGATGACCATGAGAAGCATGAGAGAAAGATGGTTTCTTTGGGTCACGATGACAGGTGGAAAAAGTCAGCCTCTGAAATCACAAGTAGAGAAACAAACCCCTCTGGAATTCTGCTGTGGTCAGGAGAGTAAGAGTTTTTATACATGACACATGTATATATTCAGAGAGTGAATCATCTCAAGGGGGCCAGGGAAGGGTGGGAAGAAAAGAGAAAGGATCATGGCATAGCCATAGTCAGCATGGGCCAAAAAATGTGGCCAAAAACACCAAAGAGAGTAAACTGTATCTTCAAGAGGGGAATACCACTGCCAGTGGATTTCTGCTGACAGTCTTCTTTAAACTGTGCTTTTTTTGCTGCTGTGATAAGATTTCCCATTTCTCCAAAAATTATTCTACCTCTGGCTCTGACAGTGACATGCCTGCACAGGACAAACAGCAGCACCACGAATTACAGGTGTTCTCAAAATAAAATACACACTATTCCTTGCAAACTCTTAAACCACAGCACTGGGGGCTGAAAATGCCTGCTGTGATTCTGCAGCCTCCCCGAGGGATCGGACACATGGGGAGGGCTCAAGACATAAAATTTCTTTCAATGGGTTTCTGAGATGTTTTTAAAGGCTGAAAATAAGTTTGCTTTACATCTTGGCTGGAGACGCTGGACAAAGGTAATTTTGTCTGCAGTGGTTTATTTGCCCATCTCACGGAGCTGTCTCAGCTCGTTACAGTGTTTGGCAAACACTCCTGGTGCAAGTTCTGCTCTGTAACCCCACTTGGGTCTTTAGAGCAGTGGAAAAGACAGATACTTGAAATCTTCTGGAGCGCTGTAACCGTCAGGTAATTAGCTGGAGCAGACTCACAAAGTAGGAAAGGCTCACGAGAGCTCTGAAATGAAAGCACAAAATGCCTCCTGGAACTAATTTTAGAGTGGCTTGAAGTATTTAATCCTGCAAATTATTGCCAGTGAGGAAACCTCAAGGTACTGCTGGATCTTAATAGTGGCAAAGCAGCAGGAGGGGCTCACCCTGGGCTGCCTCCTGCTGCTGGCACAGCAATCAGATGCTTTACACCCTCACAGGGGCAGGGGCATGGTTTGTTCCCAGCGACTTCCACAGTGGCCTGGAATTGTTCCTCTCTTGTGTTTGGAAAGGATCCTTTGTCAGCAAAGCCAATTCAGCCCTACCTTGCAAAGAGCAGAGCAAAGGAAGAGGAGAACAAACCCTGGGGGTACAGACACCCCTGTATCCCCCTAGACTCTCTGCCATGGGTGCTCCCCACCCTTCAGAGGGCAGGGCAGGGTTCAGAGGGGCACAAGGAGGCAGAGTGCTTCACTCCTTCCTAAGACCTGTCTGATTTGGAAAGATGCCTTTCTGATTCCTTGCTCTGCTCATGAGTGCTCCTTAAGGAGGCTGAGGAGATTGGATTTATTCTTTCATCCCTCCAGGAGTCCCTCTCTCCTGTGTGAAGTGCAGAAAGGAAACGTCAGCCTCGTGAGGACTGTTTTTAGGAATAAGAAATGGCAGATATGGGACTAGAAACCAACTTCTTATGTTCTTAAGACCTACTTACCCTCAAAAAGATCTTCAGATCTGCAAACTCCTTTACTTGCATCAGACACCATGTGAGGGAATTGGGAACTCCATGTTCCTTTCCACTGAGAAGATACTCCAGAATCCTGTTGCTGTGGTGGTTAAAAAAAAATTTCCTTTATTTTCCAGACAGAATTTATTCATAGTCAATTAATACCCCTTTGTTCTTGTGCCAAAATATTCTTTTATCTTTAATAAGTAGTCTGTCTAGCTCTGTGCAAGCTCTACACTTGATTGCTGCAGAACCAAGGAGTTCCCTCTTCCACAAGCCATAGGAAGAAATGTTAATAACAGAACATGCTGTAATATCCCATGCAAATTTTGCAGGAGCCCATCCAGGTGTGTGCAAGAATCCATGTACTAATTTCAAAACTATTTCTACTATCAGCTTTCCCAGCTGGAAAGATTTGCTCATCACTTAAAAACAAAGGAGAGGTAGCAACCTACATTTTAACATTTACCTGAAATGTGTTTCCCAAATAGGAGAGTTGCAGTGTCTCCTCCTTTCCAAAACTCACCAGGCACCAAGAAGCATCTCTTCAGCAGAGCCAAGATTTAAGATCCTGCACATTTCATTGAACAACATCCACTTTGGAATTCAGATTTTGTTTCTTTTTAGGCACAGGTATCCTTTTGCACATGCACGACTTATATCTGCAAGACCAAGTGATCAAATATTAGAACTAAGGATAGACATAAACCCTTATTCATCTGCAGTATGATTCATTCTTTAAATATTGGATTATGTCTTGTTTTCCACCAGATTCTACCTCAGGATGGACAGTGTTCACTTAATAAGCAGATATTCAATATTTTGTTACAGTGTCATTTTTCAGCATGTGGCTTGAGGCCTTATTTACCACAAACTACTCCAAACCTGCTTGGAAGACACAATTGCTGATTTTCTTGTGAGCTTTTCTCGGGCTGTTATCAGGATGGCATCTGAGTGCTTTCACAAGGCTCATTGCTTCTAACAGCACCCTGGAAAACGAGAGGATATTATTATTCTTGTTTGACAGATGGGAAACTGAAACACAAAGAGATTCAGGTCAAAACATTTTGCTTTTGTTGGGTACCCAAACTGAGATGTCTGGGAATTGATTTCTCAGAGTTTTTAACTCTGTGCAGCATCCCATGGCAGGAGGAACAGCACTGACAGTGCACTCTGCACACAGGAACACAGAAAAAATCAAATTAATAGCCAGTTGGGAAGAATTCAAATTGACTTCTCTGAGACTTGGTGAGATCTTTGCAGGATTGAGATGCCTCAGCCATGAGATCCCCCATTTTCCTTTCAGTTCTCCCTCTTTTACTCCACTTTCCCTGTTTCCACAGCAAATACAGGCAAAGTCCACCAGAAACCAGACTCCTCCTCTACCCAGCTTTGACTCATCCCCTGAGCTGCTCCACTTTCAGAAGGGAAGGAGCCCAGGGTCCTCTGCTAAATATAGCACATGGTCCTGTAATTAAAGACTAGACCAAACACAGGTACAAAAGGAAGCCAAATAAACACTTTGCAGGAAACCCTAATTTCATGAATTCCCGACACCCTTTTCTAAATAATAAGCTTTTCAAGGAGAACACTGTCTCCATTATACATATGTATATATAAAAATGTAATTTTTATACAAATGTAATTTTTAATTAAAATAAAAATTCTTATCTATATATGATATATACAATATATAGGATAGGAATGTTACATAAGTGTAATTATATAAATTTATGCATATTTATATTCTTGTTCCTGAGTAATAACCAGCTGAAATTTTCCAAAACCTGGAAAAGGTACCTGGCATTGTATACTAAGCCCAAATGATTAAAGCTTTCAAGTTAAAATTAGAGGTGATCAAAATCTGCCCAATAGGTTTCAGTTCAGCATTTTGACTGCGTCCTTCTGTTTCACAAAATCAGGATGTACGTGCCTGGGTAAGTCAAAACCATTTGTATTTTATAATGCTCACTGCTGAAGGAATATGTAGGAGCAGGACTCCAAATTTCCAGTATTCAGGAAATTCAGTTATTTCATTATTTCATTTCATTCTGAATCGAGAGAACACCTATACCTCCCTTGCCTCAAACTTTGAAATTCCCCTTAAAATTTTATTTGTGTTGGGTTTACATTGTTCTAAATAAATCAACCAGAGCTGATACCAGCATGGGAAATTTCAGAGTGAATGTTTGGAGCTTGACAGAGTTACAAGGAAATAAAGAAGCCTGGAAAGTTTCAAGCAATCCTAGTTACAGGTACATCACCAGCTATTTTTAAAATACCACTGCAGTAACATCTAAATTTTGTTAGAAAAAAACTTATTAAATGTGCTCTGTGTTATTTTCAGTGCAGTGATACTCAGGAATGTATCCTCATTTTCCAGGTGCTTTTCTGCCTCTCCCACTTAGTCATAAGAGAGTGAGGAGTGGAGCTCTGCCCTTCCTCAGCCACGGGACTGCCTCATTTCATACACCCATGAAAAAAGACCCCAATCTGAACTTTTTTAACCCAAAGGACCCCCCAGTAACCTCTGGAAGAAGGAGCAGCAGCTCTGAGCTTTCCACCTGGGGCAGAGCAGCCCCCACTTGGGAGAACACAGAGGGGACTCCTAAGAGAGGAAACCAGGGTTCAGGCTAATTCCATGCCATGGAAAAGCTGGACAACGTGGCCTTTTCACTGTCTAATATTTTGTTCTGTTTTCTTATCAAGGGGACAAGAAACTTGACTCCAGTGCCTTTGAAGGACACGCTGGGGCTTGTGTGAATGTTGGGCTTCTCCTGGTTCATAAAGAATCAGTCAGGGCTTCATGAGAACTGTCCAGGCAAAACCCCCTGTGTGAGGATGTTCTCTTTTGAAGGGAGGTGAGAAATCAGCTCCAACCCCGAGCTGAGAGTGGCTCTTTCCCAGAGCTGGGCAGTGGGGAGGGCTCAGCCAGCACAGGAGGAATTCCCCTGGAATCAGGAGATCCTGACTCATGGGGCTGCTGTCCCTGGGATGGAGGGGCTGGACTGAGTCTGGGCTGGGTCAGAGCAGGGCCCTGGCAGAGCTCCCTGGTACACAGTCAGTGTTCCAGGGAAATAAAGGAAATACAAGGAAAAAACTGTTCCACAGTCAGTGACAGAGGCTCAATCCCCGGGGCAGGAGCTGCCCAGGTGACACGGATAGGAGACCCTTCCCAGTTGGTATTTCCTTTCTCCCTTCATTTTCCTTAATCTCTGCTCCTCTGCAACAATCACAGTAACTCACTCAGCTCCTGACATGATGCTCAGGACACTTATAAAAGCTGTCCCCTAACCTGGGGGTTTAGCCCTGATTTCAGCAGTGTAAGATGAGGCTGCACACAGAGCAGAGCTGACACGGGCCTGGAGTCCCTCAGCACTTTTCCTCAATAAATTAACAGCAGAGCTGCTGCCACAGCAGCCTGAGCAGTTTGCAACATTTGTATTTCTGCTTTGGCTATTTATTGGTGTTTTTCACAAGCCCTTTTAATGCCTCCAGGAGTAATTTATGGGGACAGAAGAGCATGAAAAGAGCAGATTCCACTCATTTAAATCTCTGGGTGATGAAAATCACATGAGAAGAGCAGGTTTCTCATTGTCTCTTTTTCATAAATGGCTTTCTGAGGCAGTAAAAGCCATGTAAAAGCAAACATAAACACTGTACAAACACCAAGAAATTCAGGTTTGTTTGGACTTACCCAAACACTGCCCAGAAATTTTCAGGTTTATTCAGGTTTGGGCTCTGTTTTGTTAACTCATTCCTTAAAATGTTGCAGGTATTAGTTATTGTTAACCAACCAGATATATAGACTAAAATTTCTTTTAATTGATATTACTATGCAAAAGGATTACTTTAATAGAAACAGTTCTTAGTATTATTCTTATTTCAGATTTTGATGAGTAATATGTGTGACTGTGGTGACTCTTTTTTCCTTTTTTTTTTCTTTATTTGGCAGCCCTCACTGCTCCTGCTCCAGCACATGATCTGGACACCCAGGATGGTCCAAGTTTCCAGCAACTCACATGCTGGTTATTTATTTTATAAAATAAGCAAATTAGTGAAGCATGACTTACAAACTCTTTGATCCAGTGACCACTCATCTGTGTACTCACATAAAGAACTGTAACCTTTTAGTGCTCATAGTAAGAGATATGGACAGGTCACTAAGTTTCCTTCCTAGGGCTGGAGGGCAGTTTTGGAGGTATCTGCCACACACTGAAGCTTCACATTTTTCAAGTGAAGTGAAATTTCCAAAATAAGTAGCATTTGCCTTCTAAAGGCAAATGAAAGAGGTTTCTTTGCCCTGTCTTTTTTAATTAACTAATACTCTTAACTCCCTAATTTCCAGAAAAAGTCATAGAATCACAGAAGGGGTTGGGTTGGAAGGGACCTTAAAGCTCATCTTGTTCCACCCCCTGCCATGGGCAGGGACACCTTCCACTGTCCCAGGTTCCTCCAACCTGGCCTTGGACACTCCCAGGGATGGGGCAGCCACAGCTTCTCTGGGCAACCTGTGCCAGGGCCTGCCCACCCTCACAGGGAAGAATTTCTTCCCAATATCTCAATCTAAATCTATTCTCTTTCAGTTTAAAGCCATTCCCTCTTGTCATAGGATACAATGTTTTCTGCTTCAGCTCTCCTACATTTCATGTTTTGCCTCACGAGACCAAATTTATTACAGTAAGGGATGTAATTTAATAGTATACTTTAAACAACCATGAATGTACCTGCTTGGCTCCTCATTTTTCACCAAGTCACTCGAGGAAGTATTTAAAAGCCAGAAGACTGCCCCAGAATTTGTGTGAATAATCCAGGCTTCATGATTCTGCAAGACAGAATAGAGAGTTAACTTGAGAGGTTTCCTCTGCTGCTAGTCACATCAAAATGCCATAAAAGCAGACAGATCCTTTCCCACTCTGTTTCCCTAAAGGGCCATGGAAAGAAATCTCAGTCTAGACCTTCATCCAGCCAAAAACTCCTGCACCCATGCTCAGCTTCCTTCACTGTTATCTCTGTATAATCAGAGGAAATAATCCCCAGTGTACAAAACTGCCAATATATTCAAGGTTTTGCAAAATCCCAGCCCCCCAGACCTGAGCTGTGCAAAGTCACAGGATTATTCATAATTTCACCAGCCTGATTCAGCAGAAGCAACGTGGAATCGTTTCAAGTCACATATAAAGCTGTTTATGGGTGTTGGGAAAAGCTGTGTCCCCTGAACAAAATGTAGCTTTCTCTCAGCTTCATTCCTGGGTTTAAGGAGAACTAAACCATTCTGGAACTTGCTGGGAAAAGGGGAACAGGGGGATAGAGAAGGACAATTTATCTCTAAATTACATTGCTCTTCAGAGTAAACCACAGAGAGCTGTAATGGGACAAGTAATTTTTTTACCTAGTATAATTAATTAGAACCCATAAAACCCAATTAAACAGCACTTTTGAGACTATCAAGTGGTGCATGTTTGAAACTGCAAATATGACAGTGTAAGTACGTTTTTATAGCTGGGCACACTCCTCAGGATTATTTTCAGTGCTCTACTAAAATGGGAAATGGCACCAGTTTGGCCCCTGATAATAAATCGCTTGGAAACAGGAGATATTAATAATCTTTATGGGGGTAGGATGGGAGCCAGATGGGGCAGGGAGGGGAGTGTGAAAGTGGCATAATATATTGGCCTGGAAAACATAATCCAGGCCAAAGCAGAAATGGAATCTTGGTGTGTATCCGAGCGGGCTGGGAAGATAAAAGGAGAGGTGGTGGCTGAAAGGGGGCTCGCCCTGGGAGATGAGGAGGATGAGTTCCAAGGTAAGGAAGGGAACATCCTGCCAGGTAAGCACAGAATGGGAGCAGAGGAAAGAGATGCTCCAGCAGATTTCATGGCAAGGAGAGGGAAATGTAACTGGGAAAAGGTGTTGGGAGCTCCTGTCCCTGCCCCGCTGCCCTGGGAGGGGGCTGTGTGTGTGTACCATGGGTGTGATGGGTGTGATGGGCTCAACACACGATCCAGTGCGAGGAAAAGCTCACTTGGCCCTTGTTTATTGACATGAGGCCCCGTGGATGTTGACCTTGGCAGCCGGGGCCCTTTGCCGTGTGCCAGGCGCTCATTCCCTGCCCCTGGAGCACCGACACTCATTAGATCCAGGCCCATTCCAGTCTCACGTTTCCAGCAGTGACCCGTGGCCACCAGAGCCTCCACAGACACTTCATCATCCCCTGTCAGCAGCTCCCAGCCCGGGCACTGCCAGAGCCCAGCGAGGGCTCAGGAGAAACCTCTGCCTGGGGAGCCGCTCCCTGTGCACACGGAGAGCAGGGACACCCCATGGAGGCCTTCCTGCTCCTGGAATTGTGAGTTTGTTTGGGTTTGGAATTTCTTATCCTTCAGAAAATAGCAATGCACTGTGATAAAATACATATATATATATATATATATATATGAACCACCCCGCGCTGGCTGAGCCCTGTGACAGAAGCAGACGATTAAATTCTGACAGTCCCACTCAGCTGTACAACGCTCCCCGTGCCAGCTGCTCCCAACAAGGGGTACCTCTATCTTATCAGTCGCTCAGAAAATACCTTCAGAGTCACCTATCAACATAGGAAGAATATTTAATCTAGAAATGCAGGAAAATATACTCTCAAAAGAGATTTGGGAGGAGAAATGGAGAGAACAGCTGGTCTGGACAGAAATGTTGCAGCAAAGACTCACAACATCCACAAGGAGATCCAGGGAGGACTCAAGAGCATCAAGGAGATAAGAGCTTTCTGCAGAAATGCTTTGTGCTCTATGTTATGCTCCCTGAAGGTCTGCAGAGTGCTGTCACATTCTTTATATACATGGGGAGGCTATTCATCTCTTAGTTTTTAAGAATCCATTTACTAAACTAGAGAATCTTATAAATATTTGCATTTCATAAGTCTTATGCCATTTCACCTGCACTGAGCCCTTAAGCTTTCTCAGCTACATAAATTATTTTAAGATCTGTCTCCTTAGTATATCTAAATACTGTCATTTTAGTTTGATAGAGACATTTCTTTCTCTTTGCTCTGTGTGTAATTTTCTCAATTTAGGAACTAGATCTTAAAGGTCGATTCCAACAGAAGTCTTTCTATGATTCTGTGAAAACGGGCAAAATTCTGAGGCCTTTGAAATCAATAACAAATCTCTCAAACTTTATTTGTGTCAAGATTTTGAGTTGAACATATTTAAGTAAATTCCTACATTTGTTTCTAAATGAGAGATCTGTAGCTCTTGAAGTGTCTTCTTGGGATGTGTTAATTTTGATAGGAAAATGAAAGGTGCTAATTTGTCCCTGTCGCCATATAATATTAAACAGTTAAATATGGTCTGATTTTGGAAACAGTACATGGCAGACATCCTTAAAAAAATCATTCAAAAGGTACTGAAAGAATAATCTTTTCCAAATCTGTCAACAAGATTCTAGCCACTGTTCCTGGCACGAAATCTAGCTTAATTTGGTAAAACAATCACTTTTGCTCTTGCAAACATTGTAAAACAAATGGGGTCACGGAAAGAAAAATGGGAACATTAAAAAGACCCTTGATAAATCCTCAGGAGTGTGCTGCTGTGGTACTGTGGGGTATTTCCAAGGTTTTAAAAGTACAAGTAGATGTGGAGGCAGGAGGGAGCCCAGGCTGCAGGGCTGAGGGGCTGCAAATCCAATTCTGAGCGTGGTTCTGCTGTGAATGCTTTTCCAGGTCTCACACCATTACATAGGATGTAGCATCATAATGATGTCAACCCTTGGCCCAAAGAACAAGCTGATTTAAGTTTTATGAGGGGAAGGATGATTCCTTCCAAAGGAATGGTGAGTGGGATAACACAGAACTGTGGGATCACAGTTCAGGGAACTCACAGTTACGCTCTGAACTATTTTTAGCAAGGTACTGCAAGTTCAGGGGTGGTTAGAAAAGGCCTGCACAGCTCAAGTGAAGCACAGCCTCTCCAAGCATTCACAATTTGCTCCCAGTTTTGCAGAGAGGGAATGAGACCCTCTCTTCCCTTTTGCTGAAGGTGACTGTGCAGCAAGGCTGCTCTGGGGGTGTGAAGGAGCATCAGAGCCTGTGCAAGGAGCCTTCCCTCCCTGTCCCCACCCTGGCACAAAGGACAAACACTCACCTCACACTGGAACCAGCACATGCCCCTCTCTGCTCTCTCCAGGGTGCACCAGGGCACAGGGAAGGGAGGGGGCAGCAGCAGGACCCAGGTACTCATTGACATGATTTCAGTCCCAGATTTTCCATCTCTAGGGAAACACAACCCCCCAAAGATCAGATACAGAGGAAACACAGGGGTGTGGGTTTTCCATCAAAGTTACTGCTGTTCCTGCAGTGAGAGCACGTCAAAGACCTTCCCCCAGCTCCCTTTGGAAAGTCACTGCAGATGACTTCTGCCAGCTCCTGTTATGTTTTTCCCTTCTTCAAACACATACTTAAGAATATCCAGTTATTGTAGATCACCAGGAACACACAAGGAATGGGTTGCTTTATAAGCTTTACTACAATTATGGATAATGCTGGAAATATATACTGTATATTTCCTGTATGGTGGGACTGCTACAAGCACAGAAAATCCACATTGAGGGGGATTTCTATGCAAGCTATGCAGCAGATAAAGATTGGATTGCAAGCTTGAATTACTGATTCAAGCTGCTGCTTTGCCTCTCCCCACCCACTTCCTTAATAGCTTTTAAACTTAAATAGCCATATAAGTTAAAATGTTCTTTTATAGGGTGAAATAAACAGATTTTATGGTTCAGAAACTGCAAGTTTAGAGATCAACACTTTACCACTAATTCAAGCAGGTTCAAGCTAAGGAAATGGCTCATTTTCTTCTCTACAGTTGTTGAGATTTTTTTCCCCAAAAAAAATTCAAGATGCACTTTAAATTAGATGTTATGAAAACTCTGGATGAAGACAAGACTTTCTCTCAACAAAGTACATCTAATTTACTGCATTTCAGGTCCCAAATTCCATGAAATCAGAAGGAAATTACTGCTGAAAACCTCAGGTTGGCTAGAAATTGGTACAAAACATCAGAATTTATTGTTCATGTTTTGATATGGCATTAAAAATAAACAAACAAACAAAGAAAGAATCAACAAAACCCAACAAACTCACAAGGAAGGTTTCATATGCCACTCTGGAAATCTAAAAAGGTCTTATGAGTGCAAATGTAATTAATATTTAAACTTCTTTTTAACCCTCAAAGCTCTGTAAAGAGCATTTAGCCCCAGCCCCAGTACAATCCTCTCCAGAGAAACAGTGGGAAATGCCAGTTCCAGCTGTCTCAGAGAACCTGAGGAGAAGCAGTTCTGACAAGCTCCACACCTTAATCAACACATTTCCATTACAGGAATTATCCATCAGATATTTTAGGGAGCCAGGGGGATAACCACAACCCAGAGGTTCTTGCAGAAATAATGGGAGGGTACAAAACCCCAGGAAGATACAGCTTGGAAAGTTTGATATGACCTGAATGCACAGAAAGATATTTTCAAGCCAAGGAAGGGCAAGAACTGATTCTAAAGAGTAGTGGGAGACACTGCCCTAAGTGCTCTAAAGAAAAATTGCATTGCCCTGATTGTTTTATCAGAAAAATCCCAGTGTGTTTCATTTATCCATCTATCTGTTCATTCAACCCTCACCATTATGATTTTTGAAGATCTGATACATCCAGTAACAGCAGGGGAGTATTTTTCTTCCCATTATTATCCCAGCTACATTAACCAGCATTTAAATGGTTAAAATGGAGGTTTTTGTTTCCAAGCAAAGCTCATCCTGTTCCTGAGGACACCAGTAATGGTGGTATATGACAACATAATCAGCAGCACAAGGATATAAACAACTCCCAATTATCCCAAACCAAAATTTTTGAACATCTTGTTACATTTTTTCCTTAGGCCTTAAAATTACCGAGTTGTTATGGTTGGATGCTTTGTGGTGAATAAATCTAGAATAATTCCCTGGAAAGAGTGAACTGCTCTGAAATGCTGTTAGTGCAAAAGCCCACAGTACCAAGCATTCCCTGGCCTTCCCACCCATGGGGAAAGAACCACACCATGTTCTCATTGTGTGGGACAGAAGACCAGGGGGGAGGAGCAGGGCTGGGGTGATTTCTAGGAAGGGGGAAGCAGCTGCTCGGAAAACAGGCAAAGGGAGAGTGCAAGGAAAACATGCAACAGTGGGGTTTCTGCACATTTGACTTGTCTAAGTGCCCAATTCTCTAGGCCTGCAGGCAACTCACAAAAAAACCCCCAACTATTAAAAAACTCCATGGCCCATGAACACAACTGAATGGAATCTGAGAGGATCCCTGGGTGCCACTTCCCACCTGAGCGCACGGAGGCACCCCTGGATCCTCTCAAATTCCATTCAGGGTGTGTTCATGTGTCCATGCACAGCTCAGAGCTCTCACACAGATAGAACACGAGATCTTGTGCCTGAAACAGAGATGTCACAGGACACAGCACCCAGATCTGAAGGCAGATCAAAGTAACCACACTGAGAGCCAAATCCAAGCTCGGGCTTTGAATATACCTCCAAAACACGGCTGGTTTTGGAGCCAGACTTTGGGTTCTGTCATCCATCTAATCTTGAAATGGGTGGATCAAAGATGTTCAGTCTGAGGCTTAGTAAAGTGCTAACAGACACTGTTGAACAGAAATGGTTCAGTGAAGTCCTCCAAGCAAGAAATAAATTTGTTGGTGGACAAGCTGGGAAGTGAAAGAGAAGTGGAAGTGGCTGAGGAAATGACTACCTATCGATTATTTTGCTGGGTTACCTCCTGACATTGGCTTTATTTACAAAAGGAGGGAAAAGGAGGTATAAGGTGGTTGAGGAATTGGACCAGAAAGCTGGCAGCAGTGCCAGAAAAGACTGGAAATTAAGAAGGATGCCCAGTGGTTTGAGTGCTGGTTTGGAAACCAGTAGCAATCATATGTTTGGTTCTCCATCCCAAATTTCCTGTATGACCTTGGCCAAGTCATCCAGTGTCTCAGCTTCCAAAAAGTGAAATGGAGCTCAGGAACCTTGTTAAAAAATAAAACAAAAACAACTTGTGGAGGTGAAGAACTATCTCCCTCTACAGCCTCAAGGCTTAGAGGGAGCCTGATGTAGTCATTGAACAAAGGAGACTGGATGGCTTCCTAAATTATTCAAAATAGAAATGTAGATTCACAATTATACAAAAGAACTGACTGCAGAACACTTCAAGCTGTAGGGACAAGCCTGGTGATAGATCTTCTGACATTTCCATGCTCCTGTTCAAGCTATAGGAAAAACACACACACAGGAATTACACAGCCCTGGCTGGCACTGGTGTTTGCTCTGTAGATGGCACAAGTGCTAACCTTATTTTCTACATTGTTTATGCCAATGTAAAGTGGAAATAGCTGTAGGAATTACCCCTGACATGTGTGAGATCTGGTCACATCAACCCTCTCATTTATTCCAGAGCATGTATTTTCCTGGCCATCATTTCTCAGCCTACCTTAGTCAACTGCAATAACATTTTTGGCCAGTACAAAGTTTTGACCTGATGTCTGTGCAGATCTGGAAGGAATTTCCCCTTCAACACACATGATCTTCCATTAAGCAAAGCCAGTTCCATGATTCCTGGAAGAGTTAAGAGGTACAAATATCCTGTAACTCTGGATCCTTGCAATTAATTCTGTGGTCTCCTTTTTAGGGACAAGAAGATAATTCTTTCACACCCGGGGTTGATGGGTCATTTAGGGGCAGTCTTATCACTCTGTGAGCAAAGACACATTGCTAAATAATTCAAAATGGAAATCTCTGATGTTGTTCATTCTTCTGCTCTAACTGAGCAAGTGTTATGCAAATTTTGGAGTGGAAAAATAGGAACTCAGTCTCGCAAATGGAATGACAGCCTGGATGGGTTGCTATGCTCTGGAGAAAACAAAGGAGAAGAGTACCAGACCTTATTTACAGACCTTTCAGTTCACTAATCATGAATAACTGCAACATTTCTCCTGCTGCTACACACAGACACTTCATCAGTGGTGACAATCAGAGAGGGCCAAGCATTTCTACCACTGTGTCATCCCAACCTGGCCCATCCCACTTGCTGATGGAGGCTCCTCCTTGAGGCATTGCTGTCTTTAACAGAACAACACTCATGGACAACTGTTCAAGCACAGAGAGGATGCAACCTCTTAAATACCTACTTAAATACCTTGGCATTAAAGGCCAAGCTTGAGAAAGATATTTAGGTAATAAGAACAAGAAAAATAATCAAATCAATCAGTAAAATCAGAATAATGACATTAATCAGCAAAAGAGACATAAAAAAATTAAAACTCTTACCTTACAACAAAGTCTGGCTTTGGAAAGACTTAGAAGTGGAAACTTTTCCTCCTCCTAAGTAGTCTCTCAAGTTGGGATTTTCAAACTGCTGTTCAGCTGTGACTTCAGCTTGAAAGCTCTGAAAACTTGTGGCTGCTCAGTACATCTGTGTTAAAATTCTCCAGAAGTTCACATGGTCCTTCACTTGGAGTACACAACTGCTCTGCTTGGAGAGGGTAAAGCTGTGGTGTTCCTGCTGGAAATGTTAAGACAAACTGTGGAAAACAAGGGTTATGTCCTAAATCTCCCTCACTCATGGCTTTACACTTCTCTCCCTTGGCAGAGCAGCTCTTCTTGGTCCATATATTGGGCAGAAAATGCTCAGGTCTCAAAGCTGCTGTTTCCTGCCTCCTGCAGGAGGTCACTGCACAGAGACATCCAACACCAGCTATCACACAGGTGGACATGGGATTTTCCTTTCCCAAGCAATGTCCAGTTGGAAACCATGGAAACCTCTTTAGCCATAGAGACATAAAGATGCATTAGGGAACATTCTCACCAATCACATGCATCTTTACGCAGAAGCAAAGCCAAAGTTGGCTCCTTCCCCCGTAGTGTAAAAATTCCTATACAGATTATACACCTTATTAATTCTAGGCCAGTGAACTTTCCTCCCAGTTTATAACAAAGTGTCACATTATTAGTCAGGCTTTCCAGCATCTTTTGATAAAAATGGTGTTTTTATTGCTGTATAAAAAATACAAGGCAAGTTAAATGTTCGGTATTTTCTTATAAAATATTTAGGTTTATAAACTGTTGCAAACAGCCTGGTGTTTATATAATATTCAGACATCTCTAATGCCTCTTATGAAAGCTAATGTATAAGCTCTTAGCTTTGCAAAAGGGTTTTAAAGATGCTCTGCCCATCTTAAAGTGTAATTCTACATAGTCTGAAGAGCTACTTTGATAACAGCTTGTGTTGAGCTTAATGTTTATTCCTCCCACTGCTGTCTAGGTTGAAATTTGCTTACTTAATGAGTGAAGGCCCCAGTGCATTTAAAATTTAAATACCTGACTAGGACACCCTTACTCAGCAAAAAGCACACACATGCCCAATTTCAGGTACATGCTTAAATCCTTTAAGTCTCAGAGCTCGAATCATATGCCCACATTATTCAACAGAGAGAAAAGCAGTTGGGAATACATTTCTGAAGCATTTCTGAGGCAGAAGAATGTAGTTCACAAGGGTAGGAAGCTTTAATCACTTCTCTTCCAGGTATTGCTCAATCTCTGCCACTACTAAGAACCAACTCCTGTTTCAGTTTCTGAGTTGCTGTAATTCTTGTTGGTTGTTCCTGTAGATATTTTACTTTTGCTCCTAAATAAAATAAATAATAAAACTACTCAAACTACAAGGCCACAATTGTTCCCACATCCAACAAAATGCCAAGCAGAGTGGGATTCTTTTCCCCCCATCAATGGACTCCAAGGTGTCATATTTGCACCTTGTCATTTTGATGTCAAACAATAGAAACAGTCAAGAATATTTATAATTTTGAGCACATTGTTTAAAATAGAACAGTATCAGAAAGACTCTCCTTGGATTTCTCCTGTGAAGAAGAACAGATTTTTAATTTGTTCCCCTGTGCAATTTCTAGGGCCTGTGGCCATGGAGGGGAAGTTACACAGCACTGAAAGTTCTGCAGCAACCCCAGGACAAGAGTTCTGATCCTGAGGGAAAACTTACAGAGTCCGTAGGGATGGTTTTCCATAGTTTCTTCTCCTGTGTTATGTGTAAGTAAACTATTTTTCCCCATCATTGGACAAATCTGCCACTTTTTGGGTCTAGAACCTCAAGAAAACTCATTCTCTACCATAAAGGCAGAAACAAGTCATCTGATTCCTCCCCAGACTTCTGCAGAAGGACAGACAAAGGCCATGCAGCAGATTATCCTCCTGCTAAACTCCCAAAGCAGCATTTCCTTGCCAGCTCCAGCCCTCCTGGAGCTCCTTCTCCACCCACACCGAAGTGGCCTCTAGAGCCAGGACTGGCAGTGCCAGGTCCTTCTGCTCTCTCTGTGTTTTGCTGTTCAGTAACTTCACTCCTGGGATCTGATCACAGTGGTCAGAAAGATGCCCCTGTTTTGGTAGTAAATGGCATCTGGCTCCCAGAGCAACACAGGGCCAAGAAATACCTGCACAGACAAACAGCTCTTCCCAAAGGTCCTCTGTACAATGATAATGGCACTGCACATGACCTTCAAAAATTCTTTGCATAGTAAATTAACTCTCCTCAAAGCATGATTTCATAGAAGAAGGCAAAAAAAAAAAAAATAAAAACTATCAAGACTGAAGAGCTTTCATTTTCAAGACAAGGACATTGTGGCAAATTAAAATAAATTTATCCTTTGAAATAAATTTAAATAATTATAAGCAAGGAATAGCTTGAAAATATTCTCTTCCCTGCCCCTTTCAGTTTAATTTAATGAGGGACACTAGTTAACAATGCCAATAATAGACTGTTGTGGAAACTCATCATGGCCACTACAACCCAGCTGTAATCAGACAGAAAAGTATCGAGGGTTGGCCAGTGCAATCATTATCAGATTGAGATTATTCAGAGAGAGAAAAAAAGAGCAAGAAATTTTAAGAAAGGACCTTTGTTTATTTGATTAACTCCTTGCCATCTATTTTAATTCTTCCCACTTCTTCACACAGTCATTTTCCACTCATCTCTCTCAGCTTCCCTGCTTGCTTTGCTTAGCAATGCATTTCTTGCAAGCACATGAAAGCTTTTCCAATGGTCCCAATCAGGCACATTCTCCAAAGGCAGGCTCACCCTAAACAGCACTCGGAGTCAGAACAAGATGCAAGACAAGTAGATCCAGCAAATGAATAGGAGGCATCACAGTGAGACAATTATGATGAATATAAATAAGCTGGCAAAAAGAAATATCATTTCACTGAAACATGCAATTTTACTGAACCCAAAATCATTCTTGGAGACAAATCTATCTTCAGAGAGCTTTCAGTATGAGGGTTTTTGAGGTTGCATCAGCTGTGATCTAAGGCAGCAACATCCCAGATATTTAGACTGAGTCTGTCCCCATTTTGCAAAGGCAAATTTTGAATGTCAGAATTGCCATTATCTGACCACCTCATGGTGCAAAGTTACCATGAGCCCTTTGTGGGAAGGAGAATGTTCTTAAAGCCAGTTAGTCCATATCTTCTCTTGCTTTTATTTAGAAGCCACTGTGCAGCTACACAGAAATACCTGAGCTAATCCAGCATGAGCCAGCTCGAGCACAGAGAACAGACACGCTCCCCCAGGCAGCTGCTCAGAACAAACCTGTGGAGAGCCACAGCACACAACTGCAGATACTGCACCTCCCTCAGGTACCTCCACACTGGACTGTACATCCACCTCTGCACATCCACCTCTGCACACCCACAGCCTCCACAGCCCCCTCTGCACATCCACAGCCTGCCCTGCACACCCACAGCCTCCACATCCACAGCCTCCTCTGCACATCCACAGCCTCCACGTCCACAGCCTCCTCTGCACATCCACATCCACCTCTGCACACCCACAGCCTGCCCTGCCCATCCTCACCTCTCTGCTTTAGCCTGAGCAACCAGAGCTCTTGCAGGCCATGCAGCACTGCACATTTCTGACATGGTTCAATAAGTCAGACAAATCTGTTCACCCAAACACTTCCAGTAACTCTGCTTAGCAATGATCTACAGGATGAGAAACATCCAGCAAACTACAGCAGTTTTAAGAGTTTTACTATGGGTTATTTCTTTTTCTTTTTTTTTCTTCTTATTTTTTCCCCATTAGGGAATTACCAATTGTTCCAAACTGTTATTAACTGGCTCCCAATTCCACACACACTGTCAAAGTGCTGCTCAGCTGGCGGGCACACCGTGCCTTCCCAGCAGATTTCTTTCACAGCTGGCTTTGCAGCCTGAAAGGTCCTTCCCATTTCCAGCTCTGCAATCCTTCCAGGCAGAAGGGAGGAGAGGAACAGACAGATGCCTTTCCACAGAGATGTAACAACCTGAGCAGGTTCTCAGCATGTCAATAACAATCTAATCAGGCTGCATTTACTGAGGGGAAAATGAGGGCTCTGACTTTGCCAGAACACTTCACACATCCGCCTGCTCTTACAAACACATACAACACACTGCAGTTTCCAGATGCAGATAAGGATAACCACAGTGTGGAAAACAATCCAAGAACTAGTCTAGCCAACTCCTAGCTGGACCTCAGCCTCTTTCCACCTCCTCTCCGTGCTCTGGAATAACAATCTCTGCCTGTGCCTTTAGTGCAGTCTCACAGACACTGCTGGGTGTTGGTGTCCCAGCCCGTGCCCTGCTGCTCCCGGGATACACAGGGATGGATCCACAGGCTGGCCCACCCTGCTTCTCCCTCTGCCTTGCTGTAATGCCAGGGAAACCTAGCTATGCCCAAGGAGCAGGAATTTGTCCTGGAAGAGTCCTGATGGCACCTCTAGAGAAAGAACAGCTGCAAGGATCTCTCCTCCCCACGTGGGCAACCAACTGCACAGAAATGTCCACAGTTCACCAAAAATAATGCCAGGCTTTTCTTCTGCTCAGTCGAATTCCTGCCAGAGCTCCCTCCCTGGGCAGGGCTGATTAAAGCTGACCTAACCCTAACCCTGACTGGAAGACTGGGGGTATCATCCTCAGGTGACCATAGTTAACTTGAATTAGTCACTGGCTTGTGAATCAGAGAGCAATAACCACCCCAGACAGCAGAGCTGCACACTGGCTCCTCATCCAGCATGCTCCAAGGCAGGGACTCATGCCCAGTAGCAAGCTAATCTTGTAAAAAAAATAAAATTGTAAAATAACACAATAGGATTTTGAGTCCAGATTCACTGCCTGCAGGAAGGAGGATGATTTTTTTTTTTCTTTTCCTGGCTGATTACCTAAAGAAAAAAAATTACTAGCTCCAGTGAATGAAAAAGGACTTTTTAGTCCAAATGCCTCAGTCAGGTCATCCAAATTCCCGGTTGCCTTGATCTCTTTTCCAGCCAATGAGCTCCTCTTAAGCTCTGACTGATGGTGTTGTATATTTTAAAATGTGTTTATTCTGACAATTTGCTCTGCTTTTATGTAAGAGGACAGGCAAGCAACTCATCCCCAAAACCTCAAGGAAAGAGCACAAGCCTTGGCTGCTGGACTATTTGGCTCCCCGAAGACTGTTGATTCTTGGACAAA